ATACGTATAACTCATATTTACCATACGATTGTCCTGAAAATCTATTAAGTATACAAATATAATAACTAGAAATATATTATTCTTAGAGTTTTACTATTCATTCTTTTTTTATGTTATCAATATTTCATGCTCATTTGGTTCAGTTGAATTTTGTGCACATCAATATAATAAATTATTTTTCTCAATACACATAATTATATGAACGTATTGAAGAATCTAACATGATATTTTGATATGTTTCTGCTTCTGACATTTTATCAATAATCCTTCGTACTAGATTTCATATACTTCATTTTTAATTTTACTTAAATTTTATCCGTATCTATAGAGATAATATTCGCAATATTTTCCATTTACTTTTTAAATGATAATATTATACAACTTTCATATAATAGATCTAAAAATAGTCTCATTATGAATAAATAAAAAACATGTTTTTATTATATGGAACGTTGAATATAAAATGATCCGCAATGCCCAATGCATAGAGGGACTTAAAAATGTGTCTTATTTGTCTATGTTTTTCATATAATATAAAATATTCAGACATAATTTTTCTTTAAATGTATATATATTGAATCTAGCTTTTTGAAATAAAATAATGCATTATATAATACTTGTGTATATATAAATTAGTGTTCACATAATTTATATGCATTAATAAAAAAAAAGTTTACATTATATATTTTAATTCTATGCATATTTTATTCAATATATATTAGAAAAAATTAGTTTGAAGTAATATGATGAGCATTTTTTTAATATATTTTTAACATTAAATATTATTATTTACCGATAAAAAAAAAATTTAATAAATATTATTATAATTATTTTGAATTCTATATTTAATAAAAATTATGTTCACGCAAAAACGAGCATGCATATTTATTACAAAGAATACTATAATTAAAGGTTAGTAAAATGATATAATTCATAAAAAATATTTTAATTTGTAATGGAATGAATAACTTATTTATATCTCATAATGTAAAATAATTATAAATTACATAAATATGTAGAACTAAAAAATATTAAATAATAATTTATTTAATTAAACTATAATTTACAAGAACAATAACATTCAATATATTATAATATAAACATTTTATATTTATTTTTTTATAATTATAATATTATAAATTATAATATATATATTTTAAAACAATATATTTAGTAATCAAATAAATAATAAGAAAATAATATTATGATATGCATTATATATAATGTTTAACTCATTTAGATTAGTATGTGTATGTCGTAGAATATAAGTAATGAATGGCATAAGAATGAAAATCAATTAAATGTATTAAATATCATATCATTTCTGCATTACAGTAAAAAAAGATGAAATAATAATACAGTTATGTAAATCATTACTCAAATGGATATATAATATATAATAATGTAGAATATATATAAAATATTTAAAACATTATAATTAAAAAAATAGCACCTAAATCATAATGAATAAACATAAAAACGAAATTAAAAACAATGAAATTTTGACATTAAACCCTTGATTCTATAAATACATCTGTATTGAGTAAAATGTACATTATAGATTGCACTATATGCTTCATATAATTCTATTTTTAAATTTTATATTATCATGACTTAACATTATAGGAATAGTAAAATTATATTATATTATTCATTAAATATTAATTTTCTTACCATAAATATATCTTATATGACACATACTTTTATAATGAGAATCTAGCTTATCAATTCATATATGATGCACATAATTCTTCATTTTATCCATTAGTGTACAAATTCATATACAAAAAAAGTAGTTATATTCTTCCTGTCTGATATTTATTCTAATTAATGAGCTGTTGTTATCATAGTCCTTAAAATATGAAATGTATGCTATACTGTATGGTTTGTTATCTTCATTCGATAATAATGATTTTTTACAGTTTTTACTTGTATTTATATGTAAAATTTCCATTATTTTTGCTTTAACACTAACCTTATTGTCAGGGATGTGATCTAACTGAATAATGCAATCATGGTAAATGTACAAAATATATATATTGTATAGGAATAAACTTTTATTTAAATAATTTATAACACTAGTATTATAAATATTTTATTATAATAACCCTATAATACGTTGTATAATACAAAATTCATGATAATCATACCCCAAATAACAGAACCTATTATTAGAAAATTTTTACTACAAATATTCTGTGTGCAGATCATAATATTTAATAATGTATTTTATATTATTATTTTTGTATAATATTTCTACTTGGTGATTTCCATCAGCTGATGATGTGATGTGCTTAATAATATGAGCAGATTCATCAACAGAAATATAAGAAGCAACAGTTCTTGGAGTTTCTAAAATTGAAGAATATAAATAATGTAATAAATTAAATAATCGTACTATAAAGTTTTATTCAGGGTTTATGTTTTAGGTTTTTATATTTAGGATTCATGGTTTAGTTTATTTTTTATGTATTCTGCTAATGTTTATTTTATTATTTTTAAAAAAAATATAATATATATGATAATGTTCTTATTACATATAATTAATTACTTTTATTTTTACCGTTTTTTTTTTTTTAAAACCTATATTCATGATATATTACTCACATATGTGAATTTACAGTAACTATTATATTATGATATGATTATCCAGTAAATATATATAAATAATATACACTTATATATTACAATTATTTTTTCCTGTATAAAAAATTAGTATTTTCTGTGACATATTTATTTGGAAAATTATTTTATTGGTGCATTTTTAATTTATTGTGCTTTATATAAAATCGTTTTCTAATATATTCTTATTTAATTTAAATTTTAATTTATTTTCTTATTTGTATGTACTGATATATGTATTTAAGCTCCCAAATCATAATTCTCGTTAAAAC